TGTGTGTGTGTGTGTGTGAGTGAGTGAGTGAGTGAGTGAGTGAGTGAGTGAGTGAGTGAGTGAGTGAGTGAGTGAGTGAGTGAGTGAGTGAGTGAGTGAGTGAGTGAGTGAGTGAGTGAGTGAGTGAGTGAGTGAGTGAGTGAGTGAGTGAGTGAGTGAGTGAGTGAGTGAGTGAGTGAGTGAGTGAGTGAGTGAGTGAGTGAGTGAGTGAGTGAGTGAGTGAGTGAGTGAGTGAGTGAGTGAGTGTGTGTGTGTGTGTTTGTGTGTTTGTGTTTTTCAGGAGCTGCTGAGCTGTGGGAACGTGGGGGATTTGGATCAGATGGTTTAAGAAGCTCAAGGTTCTCACTCTCTCTTTTAAGGGATGATAGGCGTAGACGTTTTCCAAAAGCAAGAGAAAAGCGGTTCATTTAGGAGGTTCAGTTTCAGTTGAGATGCTGACTTGCAGTACTTGTCAAAGTTTGCAAACATTATGATTTTAGTGAAGTCTAGCTGAAGTTATGCTCACCAACGCTGCATTTATTTGATCAATAATACAGTAAAACAGTAATATTGTGAAATATCATTACAATTTGAAATAACCGTTTTCTATTTTAGTATATTTTTAAATATTTAAAAATGATTTTTCACACAGTACTCATCCTGTCAGTTTATAAAACTCTGCCCACTGATTCATTGATTCCATATCTAATATGCACTGGATACTGATTGTTATTTCTGATATTTTATTGAGCTTTATTGGTTACACATTTATTAATTCAGCAGACACTTTTATTCAAAAGAACTTGGCAGTGAGAAGTATTACTTTTCCCACGTCAGTGAAAAACACTCATGGAATACACATTTACTCATTTCCAAGAGTGGTGTTTCACTGGTCAGCTTCCTTCACTCTCAGTAAAACACCATTTGTGGCCACACTTTAACATGTTTATAAATAGATGTTAAACTGGTCACTGTCATAGATGCACAAACCTGCCATTTATCCTGTCACACAAACATGCAATGTGGCATTAATTGTGTTTTACAAGCGATTATTAAGTTATTTCATAGTTTTTATTTTTTGTGTGCATCCTTTGTAGATTACATTAAGCCATCCGCTTTAGAGTCAGACCTTCCATAAACCTTTATTTTATTTTCATGAAATGTTATTGAAGTCCCTCACTGAGAATAAAAATGATGACCATTACAGTTTTTTTGCAGTCGGTAACACACTGAAAGTGGTACTTGAGGCTCACTCAGTGAAACCATTAACTCATCTGCCAAATCCTCTCACCGAGTCTGCAAAACCACAAGCACATTATCTGCTTAACTCTCGGCCTGCAAAAGCAAAACCAACTATTTGCAACACACTAAGCACAGTTCTCTACATTACACAAACTATTAAAAAAGAACAGCTCTTGTATTTTGCTTAAACACAATCTGTTCACTTAGAAATCAGAGCTTGAGCGCTGTAAATAGGCTTCAGGATGCACCTGAATTTATTTTTATTTGTAGTAAAAAGGCTATTTGTTTACAGTGTCTTATACGGTCTATATTTTCACCTACATGACCCTAAAGGGTTCCGTATATTAATATCCTTCAGTTTTCTCTAGTGTGTAACCCAGGAAAGCAGTTTGATTAGTTACGTTAAACTAAAACCAACCAACCAAACAAATAAATAAATAAATGTTAATTAAAATAT